GCCAGGGGCGTGGAAAAGACCACCAACTGCTCACATGCAAGTTCAAGTTGAACTTGAAGAAAATTAAAACAAGTTCACAAGAGGCAAAATACAACCTTGATTATATCCCAAATGAATTTTGTGACAATCTGAAAAAGAGATTTGATAGACTGAACACCAATGACCACAGGAGTTGTGGGATGACATCAAGAATATCACACATGAAAAGAGCAAAAAGATAGTAAAAATAGAGGAGAGGAAGAAAAGACCAAAATAGGTGTCTGAAGAAACGCTGAAACTTGCTCTTGAACAGAAAGTAGCTACAGTAAATGGAAGAAATGATGAAACAAAAGAGCTGAACAGATGATTTCAAAGAGAAACTCAAGAAGACAAAGTAGAGTATTATAATGAAATGTGCAAAGACCTGGAGTTAGAAAACCAAAAGTAAAGAATACACTTGGCATTTTTCAAGCTGAAAGAATTGGAGGAAAAAATTCAAGCCTCGAGTTGTAATATTGAAGGATTCTATGGGAAAAATGACAAATGATGTAGGAAGCATCAAAAGAAGATGGAAAGAATACACACGGTCAATATACCAAAAAGAACTGGTCAATGTCCAGCTATTTCAGGAGGTACCACATGAGCAAGAACCAGTAGTACTGAAGGAAGAAGCCCAAGCTGCACTGAAGGAACTGGTGAATTGACAGAATACCCACTGAGATATTTCAACAAATGGATGCAGCACTTAAAGTGCTTAGTCATTTATGCCAAAAACTTTGGAAGACAGGTTCCAATACTTTGGAAGACAGGTATTATATCCAACTGGAAGAGATCCATATATGTGCTCATTCCAAAGGAGATCCAATTGTTGTTGTTGTTGTTTGCCATCGAGTCGGCCCCAATAGAATATGGAAATTATTGAACAGCATCATTAATATCACATGCATGTAAAATTTTGCTAAAGATAATTAAAAAATGGTTGCAGCAATATATTGACAGAGAACTTCCTGACATTCAAGCTGGATTCAAAAGAGGATGTGGAATGAGGAATATCATTGCTGATGTCAGATGGATCTTGGCTGAAAGCAAAGAATACCACAAAGAAGTTTAACTGTGTTTTACTGACTATAAGAAGGCATTTGACTGTGTGGGTCATAACAAATTACAGATGACTCTCTGAACAATGGAAATTCCAGAACATTTCGTTGTATTCATGAGGAACCTGCACCCAGAACAAGAGGCTGTCATTCAAACAGAACCAAGGGATACAACATGGTTTAAAATCAGGAAGGGTGTGCATCAGGGGTATATCCTTTCACCATACTTATTCAATTTGTATGTTGAGCAAATAACCCAAGAAGCTGGACTATACGAAAAAGAATAACCTGCGATACACAGATGCCACAAACTTCCTTACAGATGACTTAGAGCACCTACTGATGGAGATCAAAGACTTACTCTTCAGTATGGATTAGACTTCAACATAAAGAAAACAAAAACTCTCATAACTGGACTAATAAACAACATCATGATACATGGAGAAAAGACTGAAATTGTTAGGGTTCATTTTACTTGGATCCACAATCAACGTCCATGGAAGCAGTGGTCTAAAAATCAGACATCATATTGCATTGGGCAAATCTGCTGTAAAAGACCACTTTAATGTACTAAGAAGCAAAGATGTCACTTTGAAGACTGAGGTGCACCTAACCCAAGCCAAGGAGCTCTGATGGCGCAGTGTCTAAGGCACTTGACTGCTAACCAGAAAGCTGGTGGTTCAAACCCACCAGCCACTCCTCGGAAGGAAGGTTGGGCAATCTACTTCTGTAGTGATACTGCTTCGGAAACCCAAGGAGGGGTCGCTATGAGTTGGGGCTGATTCAAAGGCACTTAACTACAACAACAACAACCCAAGCCATGGTATTTTCAATTGCCTCATATGCATGTCAAAGCTGGACAATGAATAAGGAAGACCAAGGAAAAGTTGATGCCCTTGAACTATGGCGTTGGCGAAGAATACTGAAAATACTTTAGACTGCCAGAAGAACAAACAAATGTGTCCTGGAGGAAGTACAGCTAGGCTAGAACTTGCCTTGGAAGTGAGAATGGCCAGACTTCGTCTCATCTACTTTGATCGTGTTGTCAGATGATTCCCTGGGTAGGTATCATGCTTGGTAGATGGTCAGTGAAAACGGAAAGACCCTCAACAAGATGGACTGACACAGTGGCTGAACGATGGGCTCAAGCATGGCAAGGATTGTGAGGATGGTACAGGACCAAGCAGTGTTTTGTTCTGTTGGGTTGCTATGGGTCGGAGCCAACTCGATGGCATCTAACAACAATAACATTAATATTTCTTATTTTAAATCCACGTAGTTTTTAATAGTTATATTTTGAGATGACTCCCTGGTAAGATAAAATCAATACCCATTTTTTAAAGTGTTTTTTATTAGTTAATCATGACTGTACTACTCAAGTGAGTGCTTCTCCTTTCCTTCTAAAATTTCCAGGTTAATACAGGATTAAGCTTGATTTGGATGGAAGAATCATTCAACTGAACATCTTCTTTGTAAGCCACTCAATGTTCTGGTAAAACCTAGTTCCCAGGCAAATGTAGTACAAGAAGGTTTAAAACTTGAAGCTGACGGTTATCCCAATATATCAAGGGGGCACCTATTGGCTCCAGACTACCTCTACATAAGAGCAATTTGTATCTAAGTTTGTTTCAGGCTCAGTGCTCAAGCCTCTGCTCAGTGGAAATGCAAATTTGTTTGTGGGGATTAACAGCTATATGAGAAAAGAGGGAGATAAGATTTGAAGAGTATCATTTAATTTAATCACATCAAAATATTTGTTTTTACTGTTCACATTCTCAATTGATCTTATAAGTACCCTGTGCAGGTGTTAGCTATCACTTTACAAAAGAGAGATCCATTATTGCTGCTATCTTTCTAAAACTTCAAAGTATATCAAATGCTACAGAAATACTATGCCTTATTGGAGGATTATTATTCAGATTTAAACTTATTTACATTTGTCTTATTAGTTTGTCATTCCATGGAGTGGGGGAATTGTTTCTGTAGTATAAATTAAGTATTCAAACTATAGACTTGCCCCTAAACTTAATTTCCTATTAATTCTTTCTATTTCATTTGTGTTACAAAATGGTATTCCCTTTAGTCCACATGAGATTTACAAAAGGGTAGATTAGTATAGTCATTTTAGAGTATTATTATTGTAAAGAAAAATGCACATTTTTAAACAGACTAGAATTATTCTAGACTCATGAAACCGAAAGAGGCCTCTGGAGATAACTTCTGTATCTCATCCTGGTACTGTAACAAGTCATTAATTTCTATGGTTCAAAGTGCTTCACCGAGAAAAATCATGCAGTAGGATTTGACCAAAGTTACAAGTCCTCTAAAATTGTGAACAGAACTTTAGGCAAAAAATTCTACTTATTCCACATTTGTAAGCCAGTAACATGTAGTATGTTGGAAGGAATTTCACTACTTTGCTGATTTATCTTTTATAAAGTTATTATTTGTAAGGTTAATACAAATAATCCAATGGCATTTAAGTTTCTATGGCTCTACAATAACATAAAATGCAGAGCAGCTGATCAGTAGCCTCTGAATCATATTTCTTCATATATTTAAAAATTGTTAAGAAATCTGACTCTTTCCTTCAAATCTAATTATGTCTACTAACCTTTTTCTTGGGTGCTCTGGTGGTGTAGTGCTTAAGGCATGTGACTGCTAACCACAAGGCTGGCGGTTCAAACCCATCAGCCACTTCTTGGAAGGAAGATTGGGCAACCCTTTTCTTACCATTCCTATTTCCTGTAACTCAGTAATTTTATTGCTTTCCTCAAGTTCCTTTTGCACATTTATCAAATCTATCCCAAATCAATGTTGGAGACTTATTTAATATAAATTGGTATTTTTTTTTCTATTTTTGCCATCATTTCTGTTAAAATCCATGCTTATTAATATAAAGACACTTTCAGAATGATATAGAGAATCCTCCTATTCCATTAGAGCAAATGCTATTTTTTAACTTATACCAGTAGCTTCCTTTTCCTCTGACAACCGTTAGTGCTGCTATCATAACAATCATCTTCAGTGCATCTAATGTTTATTTACAGATGCCTACTTCCTCCAGTTTCTCTTTGATCAGGAGATAAATGATTGAAAATTCTAGCTTCCAGGTGGCATCAGTAAAAATTTTATAACCTAGTTTAACATGGAAAGGAGGCTTCTTGACTCTTTTCTTAAAAAAGAAACCATGATGAGAGACTTTACCTTTCTGTTTTCATTTAGGTAAACCTTTTATGAAAGAGAAGAATTTTATTTAGTGTTATAAAATGCACTTACTTTAAGGAGATTCATATTTTGAAAAATACTTGGAAGTTTTGAAATTTCTTACCACATATTATTCTCATTTGGAGACTAAACAATTGGGAAAAATATTAAATACATAGACATTTTAACAGATAGAAATATTAGTCTTATGGTTGTAATTATTTAATGTATGCCGTCAAATAGATTCTGACTCACTGTGACCTATAGGACAGAGAGAAATTGCTCCATAGGGTTTCCAAGGCTATAATCTTTATTCAAGCAGATTGCCAAGTTTTTTCTCCCAAAGAGCTGCTGGGTAGGTTCCAACCCCCAACCTTTCAGTTCACATCTGAGACTTAACCACTGCGTCATGAGGGCTCTCTGATTATTTAGTAGGTACCACCAAATGCATAACCCATATATTTGCTTTAATTTGAATGCAGGGAAAAGGGACACCAGTGAAAGAAATGTCATAATCATTGTATTTTTCTTTATTAATATGAATCTGAGAAAATAATATAAATTCTTGTGGTAGCTACAATCTATAGAGGTGTGCTTGAAGGTCTTGGAAAAACAGAAGTGCAAAAAAAAAAGTGCAGCTCATTCACAAAGACAGTCATCTATAAGTATACCTTGTCCCACGAAACCTCTTAAATAGTAAAATTTTAAGAATCATACCCAATGTGAGTGGCTTCTGTCCTTCCCTCTCCTGTGAATACACATCTAGCTGCCAATATGTCACCAAAACTAACATCTACTGGGTGTTCCACAGGGTAGAAAGCCTGCCAAAAAAGATAAATATGATGATTCGTTAAAACTACCAATACAATCCAGAAACACGGGGTTCTAATAATGTAAGGGCTGGAGTTCCCTGGGTATAGAAGCTGAAGATAAACACACACAGACACACAAACAACTTCTGGAAAAAGGGAGTTTACCTTTAATTTACTTAATTCTGCTTTATATCAAACTTTGAACTAATAATAACAGCAAAGGCATCCCATGAAACTCAGAATATGGAAATACCAGTAAAGCTATCTGAGACATTGTCTGATTAAGTTAGTAGATAGAAAAGATTTCAACAGCATGCTTAAAAATAATGAGAGAACTGATAATAGCACCAAATGCAAAGCTGTAAAAATGGTTATACAGTTCATACATACAGTAAAGGCAGAGACTTTCAGAATCTAAATTCACGAAAGTTATAGACGTTTTTCAAAAATTACTATTTAGTGATATTTGTTATTTAAAAATTAAATTGATTATAAATAGAGGAACACAAGAGTTAAAGGCAACAGAGGTAAGTACAATTACACACACAATCCTACAATAACAGTAGTAAAAATAATCTATGAATGCATACATACATAGACACTCAACCTGAAAAGGGATGGGAAGGAGAATGGGACTACACTCACAAATCTATATAGGTTTGACAGTGGGTATTTCTACATTTATATGTGCTGCAAATATACGCATGAATACAGTAGGGGAAATGGGGCAAAGTTATGAAGACTTCTTAATCATAAACACCTTGAGGGAATGAGTCACTAGGCATAGGGGCTCAGGAACATAGCCATAGAGGGCACTAAGGTTAGTTGGGATATTTCACAAAGACAGTGTTCTATATCCTACCTTGGTGAGTAGAAACTGCGATCTTAAAAGCATGTGGGCTTATTTAAAGTGCAACTATTGATCTTTCCTCATCTGGAGCAAATAAGAGTGAAGAAAATCAAAGACATGAGGAAACAATTAGTCCAAAGGACTGACGGATCATGTGAACCCCAAGTTCAATAACTAGATGGTGCCTAGCTACTACTGCTGACCTAGCTGAAAGGGATCACAATAGGAAGTCCTGGATAGAGTGGGAGAAAAATGTGGAACAAAACTCAAAATCGTAAAAAAGACCATGCTTAACTGGTCTTCCAGAGACTTATAGAATCCCCAAGACTACAGCACTTAGACACCTTTCAAGCTTGGAACTAAACTCACCTCTGTGGCTCAACTTTCAGCCAAATGATAGGCCTATAAAATGAACAATACCAGGAAGGTACCCACTCATTAGAATGATCAACCATATGAGATCTACAGAGCAGCATATGCCCAAGGATAAAGATTAGAAGGCAGGAAGGGAGAGGAAAGAAGGAGGAAGGATGGTAAACACATGGAGGAAGTGGGAAGAGTGCTGTTACACTGTAGGAATTGTAATGAATGTTACAAAATAAAATGTGTATGAACTGTTGAATGGAAAACTAATTTGCTCTGTAAACTTTTACCCAAATCAGAATTAATTTTTTATTTTTTTTAAAAAAACTACCATTCACATCATTAAATAAATAGATAGATAGATTGGATAGATAGGATTCTACACACCTGTGGCAGCTGGGGGCTCTGACGTCCAATTAGTGTCCACTGTCCATTTCTTACTCTGTATCCACTTACTACCTTCCCTGTAACAAAAACAAGTTATAACCATTTATCAATGTTATAACAATAATTATAAAAAGCATATCTGCATTCCCATTTTAAAATAAACTCTGAATATCTTAACAACCCCAAATGCTGGGTATCTTAATGAGAATAATATGAAACAGCATAAAATATTTCAATGTATTATGCAAAATCTCTTTCACTGAAACAGATTTAAGGTCAAATAAAATTTACATTGTACATTTATAGCATTAGTGAGCATTTTTATAACTTATTGTAAATACATTTTTTAAAAAGCATATTTATCATTAAACATATAGCTTAAAATTCTTACCTAAATGGTGAGTGTGAACTCTATAGGCAAAGACATGCATTGGATAGTTTTTATAATGGCATGAAATGTCAGAATTCACCACTGTTAGAAATGAAAACAGAAAAAAAAGTCACGATTCAACTGGAAAATCCCATTATCCTTTTCTAAAAGTATGTATAGCGTAATGATAAGACGCTAGAGACTAGGGTTTTCTTATGCAGTAAACACACACTCACTCTTACATTCAGTACACATTAAATACTTATATGCAAGCCACTCTGCTAAGATGAACTAATAACCCCTAGCCCTCATCACATTTTTATATCATAAACAAACGACTACACTCAAATTAAAATACCCTGTCAGTGAAACCATAGGCTTAATGTGTTACCTTTACCTTTCTTTCTTTTTTTTTTTTTTTAAAATAATAAAAACCTTTTTATTACGATTTGGGTGACAGTTTGCAGAGCCTATCTGTTTGTCTATTCAATAGTTCATGCATTTTGTTTTGTGATGTTCACTGCAATCCCCTAACGTAACAGGTCTCTTCTGACTTCCTCTCCGTGATCAACTTTTCCTTGTGTCCTTTCCTATGCATTCCTGCCTCCTGAGTTTTCTCTCTGCGCAAATGCTATTCGTCTGATCTCCCATGATTGACTGTTCTAAGGAATGCATCTCCCTGGTGTAACTGTTCACCTCTTAGGCCTGTCCATTATTTTGTGTTATCTTTTTCTTGAATTCAAACAGATGAAAAATCTTAAAAGTTGGTTTTTATTTTTTAAAACAAAATGACTTTCAAATGTTGAATGTAAATACCTAAGACAGCTAGGTTTATAGTTTCTGTTGAGAAAGAACTTTTATATACATTTCCTTCCTTGCCATCTAACACATAGTAACTATTCAATAAATATTCCTTTAATAATAAATGAATGGTGATGAAGAGATCATAAATTATTTACTAGTCATTAACTTTAAATAATTCCCCGCCAAACCAGGAAGGAATAATATCTATATGGTGCTTTCTTTAGAAACACTTCAGATACAGAATGTTACTTATTCTTACAGATATTTTTAAATTCAGGAGCATCAGCTGTTATTATTCACACATTACAGATGTAGAAATAAGCCCAATATATTTAAGTTTGAAGACTGAGTCACTGTTACATTTGCCAACCCCCTGAACTCGATACTCTATGAAGTAGTTTATGCCACGGTACATTATTTTTTTGAGCTGTGGTGGTGTAGTGGGTAAGACATTTGGCTGTTAACCAGAAAGTCAGCAGTTCAAACCCACCAGCTGCTCTTTGGAAGGAAGATGAGGCAATCTACTTCCATAAAGAATTGTTGTTGTTGTTATGTGCCATCAAGTTGGACCCAACTCATAGCGACCCCTCCTTGGGTTTCTGAGGCAGTATCACTACGGAAGTAGATTGCAAAGAATTATAGCCTTGGAAACCCAATGGGGGTTGTTATGAGTCAGAATCAACTCGATGGAAGTAGGTTTTTTTTTTTTTTTTTCCATCAAGAGTAAGGATGATTGATTTGTAAAATACTTAAGATTTATTATTTAATTTAGTATACATCCCACTACCTACCAATGTGCCTGAATTCTTAGCATCTCAACAAATGACTGGAAAAGTAGTAAACAAATGGCTTGTAATAATACAAAAATCTATTTTAAATCCAAAGATAATAAAGAATTGGGTTATCTTTCAAGTATTAAAAAATATTAGTCATTTTAAGTTTTTAAAAAAATATTCAAAATCCTTCCTATAGAGTAGGTAATGAGGTAATGGTCAATACTGAAACATCACAACTCACCTTTCTCTCCTGGTGGTATAACAGTGTCAACAGACATCATAAGATACATGCCAGCAATTAAAGGCTGTCTGTAGAAAAAATATTTAAAGTAAATAAAAATGATTGCTTTATAAAAATAAGATATACTTTAATACAGGGGTCTATAAAATGTGATTCTTATGAAAATTAAAATGAAATAATATATAAAAAGAAGTTGAATATGTTTTATTTTTATTAAAAATCATGATCTTTCCTGGGCAAATACCTATATACACAGCTTTATGGCCTGTAAACTCTAAATGGCTCCCACTGATTCCTAGCTCTAGCATTCATGCCCTTATCTAACACCCTCCCTCCTGAGTGTGGACTGGACTACTGACTGACTTCTAACAAATGAAATATGGCAAAAGTGATGGTATGATGCTTTTGCAATTAGGTTCAAAAACTCTGGTGTCCATGTTGTATGCCCTCTCTTGTTTTTTCATTTGCTTGCTTGGTCTGATGAAAGCCACCTGTCATATTTTGACCTGCACTGTAAAGAACCCACAGGGCAAGGAACCAAGGGGATCTCCGGATAGCAGTCAGTAAGGAACTGAATCCTGCCAACTACCATGGAAGTGATTTTGGAAGAGACTGCAGCCCCAGCAAAACCTTGATTACAGCTTGTGTGCAAGGCCATGAATCTGAGGACCCAGTTAAACTGCACCCAGATTCCTGACCACAGAAAAATGTGAAAGAATTAATGTTTGTTGTTCTAAGCCACTAAGTTTAGGGTTATTTGTTATGCAGCAATAAATAATAACTAATACAATAAAATTTACACTTTTAAATTCTCAAAGATCTTAGCATTGTCATTTATCTAAGATAACTGGAAGTACTTACGGCAAACGTGTGAGATGTAAGGACACGCCAGAACAATCCTTGTGATTATCTGAAAGCACATACATACACAAAATAGACATCTCAAATATGAACATGTGACAAAGGCATTTCAAACTAAGAAAAATTAGTTTTTTTAAAGTTAAATGACTGTAACTTATAATACTATAAAAAAACTATATGTTTCATTTGTATGTCTCCTATAGTTTACAGAGTAATTTAATATTAATAATTCATTACTTTTCAGTATATTCATAACAACAAAACTATCATATAAAAGTCTGTAGTGTTTCAAATGACTAATTTCTTTCAGTTACCCAGAGATACACCAGAAACCAGTCATAAGCCCAAAGAAGAAAACTGCTGCTACTTTTCATGCTGCATCTATATTTCAAAACACCCAAAATACCTGAAAACTGAATGGTTTGTTCCATGGGCTCCAAACAACTGCCTTCTGTTATTTTTAAAAACTGAAGCAGCCCACATTTTGGGCTTTCAAGGTATTATTATTAGAGCCCCTAATGTCTTAGTTTCTCAAAGCTATGCTTGTTCCCACCTTATAAATGGAAACCTGATCCTCATTCAATTTAGACCCATATAAGTAAGTCTTTGCACTCTGGTGCATAGTGCCTAAGGCATTTGACTGCTAATCAGAAGGCCGGCAGTTCAAACCCACCAGCCACTCCTTGGAAGGAAGATTGGACAATCTATTTCTGTAGAGATAACCTCTTCAGATACCTATGAAGGGGTCACCATGAGTCAGAAAAGACTCGACAGCAGTGAGTTTGGTTTAGTTTTTGAGTATGTCTTTATCTTTGCTAAGGACACTTCAGAGACCTCTTAAAAACCCTTTCTTCCAACTTCCTCAGTCTTCCGCAGTCAAATAAGGTATAAATTCCAAAATAACCATCCAAGTCTTATCCCTACTGAATTTGCTAACTCTTCACCATAGCAATCATAAATGCTAACTCATACTCATTCCTCTATTTGTATATAAGCTAAATTCTTCCCACTTCACATTTTATTTAAGTGATTATAAATGTTTTTAGAGTGATATATAGTAACATCGGTCACTACTTTCTATTTTAGATTAGAAGTTTATAGAAGATAATAATCTTCTTTAATCATACACATTCTTTAATTTATACCATGCCCAAATCTATGTGGTACATAGTTGTATTCAAAATTTAATAGGTGATAAAAACATTTGTAGAATACTCTTGAAACAATTCCTAATAGTTTATAAGGTACTGTATTCAGCACATAATAAAACTAAATTTAAAATTCAGTTTTGAAAGTTGATTTTTATTTAAATAATTATTGTGTGTATATGTATAAGACTGACAGATTTATACTAGAAATTAGGAAGTAAAATGGGCTATTAAATAAAAGATGATGGGGTGATCCCCCACAAGGAATTTTCCTTTCAGCTATCATTTTTATGAGGCAAACAAAGGTAGCCACACATAGAAAAACATAACAGGTAACTAACAACATAAGCATTTTGATTTACTATATATAAAATATAATAAGAAAACACAACAAATAATATTTAATACTTTGGTATTAAAATACAAAGGAAATTGACTGTAATCTTCCCAAAGACAGTACAAGAATTAATTAAATGCTTAACATTTGATATTTTGTCTTTGACATTTTTACAAAGGGAAAGGGATCATCTCTAGCCAATCTCCTAAATTAACTTCACTGAGGTATTTTTTCATAGTAATTTCAGTTAGGGTTTTTCTTTTTTTCATAAATTTCAAGTGAGTTGGGAAGGAGTAAGAAAAGAACAATAAATAATGCCTATAGGTTACCTTATTTTTGCCAATCCTTTTAAATATAGAAAGGATTTTATTTTAAAAGCATTATAAAAGTCATTAAAAAAATAAACTTTTATTGTTGCAACAAGCTTTCCTGAATATACTGCATGTTACTTAGAAAATATGCCTGGTCTGTCTGTACTACTGTGAAAATAATTAGCTCATGACCTTACTCAGAATCATGTGATATCTCCACTGATCAAATGAGAATGGTGGAAAGAGTACCAGTTTTAGAGTCATATGAATTCTAAATTCCAGAGACTTATATTATTAGCTTAGTTGACTTTAAGAAATATTACTCATGTGTATAATAAACATCATACCTATCTCACAAGGTTATCATGAAAAATGATAATCATTCATTCATTCACTTCATATTTATTGAGCAATTACTATATTCCAGGCACTGTTTTATACATTGAGGATACACTGAAAAACAATATATAGTATTCAAGTTTCCTGGTCTCATGTGCTTATGCTCCAATAGGAATGGTGGGGTAGAAGAGAAAGGAAAAAACAAAACACCAAACATAGTGAATTACATACACCAAACATAGTGAATAAACAAATATAGTGAATTTAAGGGGAAGAGCTTAACAGGATAATGTGATAGCAGACAACTGATTTGTCTCCAGTGGTCAAAGAAAGACCTTAATGAGAAAGAATCAGCCATGAGGAGATGTGGGACAAACATTCCAGGCAGAAAGAAAAGACCTCAACAGGAACTGAGCATGTTTGCAGACAGAAGGGCCAGTGTGGAAGGAGCCTAGTGAATAAGGAGTGTGGGGGTTTGTGGTTCAGAAGATCAAGAAGAGTCCATGTCACATAGAATGTGTAAAGAGTTTGATTTTTATTCTCTGTGAACAAAGATACTGAAGATTTTAAGTGAGGGGTGACAGGATCATATAAAGTGCCCACAGTATCTGGTACTTAAAGATTACTTACTATTTACTGAATTTTATTTTATAGTTTATTTTAAACAGTATGCATGGAGGTCCACTACTACCATCCACTTCCCCATACAATGTACATCCAAGCAAAAGGCTCAGTGTGCACTGAGAATTGTCTCTTGGTTTTTCATTACATCTTGTCATTCAAAGAATCTAGGGAATCATGTTTTGATCTCTACTATACATCTGGGTTGATTATTCTTAATCATGACTTTAAAAAAAAATGAAAAGGAAGAAATTTACAAATCAACATACTTCTAAAAAATACTGAAGAAATTTACCATTAAAGCTGAAATCTGTCACCAGATTTAGTAGAAGGAATATTACTAATAGAATAATGCAGCTATTGGCAGATGCAATAAAACAATGTATCTTCCCATAGATAATATACCTTATCAGAACTGTCTAAACTGAATAGTTTATACCTATAGAAAAGCACATGAATAAGTCAGAAACAAATTTTCAGCATGAATGCATACTTACTAAAATTTTCTCCAAATTAGTAATAGCAACTTCAAGTCCTTAACAGTGAAAATACAACCTTGATTATATCCCACCTGAATTTAGAGACCATCTGAAGAACAGATTTGATGCATTAAACACCAATAACTGAAGACCAGACAAGTTATGGATGACAGCAAGAACATCATATATGAAGGAAGCAAAAGGTCATTAAAGAAGAAAGGAGGAAAAGACCAAAATGAATGTCAAAAGAGACTCTAAAATTTGCTTTGAATGGAGAGTAAACTAAAACCCAAACTCACTGCCACTGAGTTGATTCTGACTCAGAGAACCCCATTGGGTTTTCAAGGCCATCAATCTTTATGGAAGTTGTTGTTGTTGTTGTTGTTATGTGCCGTCGAGTCAAACACGACTCACAGCGACCCCTCCTTGGGTTTCCGAGGCAGTATCACTATGGAAGTAGGACTGCCCAACCTTCCTTCTGAGGAGTGGCTGGTGGGTTTGAACCACCAGCCGTCTGGTTAGCAGGCAAGTGTCTTAGCCACTATGCTACCAGAGCTCCCTTATGGAAGTAGACTGCCTCATTTTCTTCCTGTAGAACAACTGGAACACCAACCTTCTGGTTAGCAGCCAAATGCCTTATCCACTACAACACCAGACCTCCTAAAGTGAATGGAAGAAATGACAGAATGAAAGAGCACCTTAACATAAAGAAAACAGAAATCCTTACAAAGGGACCAAGCAACATCACAATAATGGAGAAAAGATTGAGATTGTCAGGGATTTTATTTCACTTGGATCCACAATCAGCATTCACAGAAGCAGCAGTCAAGAAATTGGATATATTGTAGTAGGCAAATTTGATGCACAAGACCTCTTTGAAGTGTCATTTTGAAGACTAAGGGGTGCCTAACTGAAGTCATTGAATTCCAATCGCCTCATATGCATGTGAAAGCTGGACAATGAATAAGAAACACCAAAGAAGAGTCGATGGCTCCGAATTGTGGTGTTAGCGAAGAATTCTGAAAATACCATGGACTGCCAGAAGAACTAACAAATCTGTCCTGAGAGAAGTGAAGCTGGAATGCTCCTTAGAAGCAGAAACAGGCAGACTTCATTTCACCTACTTTGGTCCTGTTGTCAGAAGGGACTAGTCCCTGGAGAAAGGTGTCATTCTTGGTGAAGTGGAGGGTCAGAGGAAAAGGGGAAGATCCTCAACAAGATGGGTTGACATAGTGGCTGCAACAACGGGCTGAAGCACAGCAAGGATCTCAAGGATGGTGCAGGACTGGGCAGTGTTTCACTCTATTGTACACTGGGCTGCTAGGAGTCAGAGCCAACTCCAAGGCACCTCACAAAACAACAACATGTAATTGTTCATTTGCTTCATTCTTTAGAGATTTAAAAACCGTGTCACAGGCATTCACCCCACTATAAACTCAGAATAATACCAGGTTTCCTTTAAAAAAAAAAAAAAATCAAGTACACACCATATCCTATCAGAAAGTCTAAAATATCACAGAGTTTAAAAAAACAATGAAAAAATCAAGTAGTATTATCAGTTGGTTACCACACTTTGGAGAAAAATACACTGAACTTTTGACTTACATCTTATAATGACTTGTGGACAAAATGAATTTCAGAGACTCTAAGAGCTCTGGTAGCTTAGTGGCTAAGGCACTTGACTGCTAACAGAAGGCTGGCAGTTCAAACCCACCAGCCACTCCTCAGAAGGAAGATGGGGCAATCTACGTCTGTAGTGATACCACCTCGGAAACCCAAGGAGGGTTTGCTATGAGTCGGGTCCTACTCTAAGG